GGGACCCTGCACCCGTGTGGGAGACCTGGAGGAAGTTCCTGGATCCTGGCTTCAGATTGCAGCAGCACTGGCCGTTGCTGTCACTTGGGGAGTGAATCATTGGACGGAAGATCATTCTCTCTCTCCTCCTTTCTATATATCTGACTTTGCAATAAAAATTAATAAATCTTAAAAAAAAAAAAAAGGAGTAAAAACTAAACTTTCTAACCTGGTGGAAGAAAGGTAAAATGGTAGAGCCGGGTCTGGCACAGTAGCCTAGTGGCTGAAGTCCTTGCCTTGCACATGCCAGAATCCCATAGGTGCACAAGTTCTAATCCCAGCACACCTGCTTCCCGTCCAGTTCCCTGCTTGTGGCTTTGGAAAGCAGTTAAGGGTGGCCCAAAGCCTTGGGATCTTGTTTCTGCATGGGAAACCTAGAAGAGGCTCCTGGCTTCAGATTGGTGCAGCTCCGGCCGTTGTAGCCACTTGGGGAGTGAATCAACAGTCAGAAGGTCTTCCATTGGAAAATATTCTGGCATCTCCTCAAAAATGCTAAACCACACGGTTACCACATAACCAGTAATTCACACTAGTACCCACTAATTCTGCAGATACAGATTCAAGGAAAGTGGGGCAGATATTTGACATAATGTTTAAACAACAGTTAAGGGCTTGCACCCCACTCTGAGTTGCTGGATTTAAGAGCTGGCTCCACCTTCTAATTCCAGTTTTCTGCTAACACGCAGCACGTCCCAGGCTTCCAGCTGCAGCCTCGGCTAGCTCTAGCTGTTGCAGGTGATTGAGTAGTAAACCAGCGGATGGACGATCTCTGTGTACCTTATTTCTTAAAAATATCTATTCATTAATTTGAAAGGCAGTGTGACAGAGATCTCTCATCTGCTGGTTCACTCCTCAAATGACGCAAAGTCAGGGTCCAGGAACTTGCCAACTCTCCCACTTGAGCCTCCTGCCTCCCATTGCTTTCCCACACCCTTGGGAGGAGCTGCATCTGAAGTGGAGCAGCAGGGACTCCAATGATGGTCACGTGAGATGACGAATCCCAAATCGAGGGCGTACTGTGCAGCACAACTGCCCACAATCTTTTTGTTTGTTTGTTTGTTTAAGTTGAAAAGCAATCCGGGGCATCCCCCTCCTCCACAGTCACAGCCCCACCCCAGGCTGCGGGGGTTGGGGGCTCTCTGACTTACCTGTACCTCCAAAAACCACCACAAGTTTCTTCTCCGTCATGAGGGCTGGAGCTGCAGGCACGCAATCCCGAGAGGTCTAGAGAAGGAAACACGCGGGGAGCTGAGGACCTGGCCAGGTGTGGCAGCCCGGGACTCCCTGCACGGGAAGGCGGTCAGGCCCTCAGGTCCTAGCACCTCTTACCCCCATCCTCTCCCATCCCAAACTTTCCAGCGTGGACCCCGCCTTCCTTGTACCAGACCCTAGTCCTTGTCCCCCACCCCCTCAGCGACACAAGGGATCAACCTCAGGCTGGAGCAGAAAAAGTCCTGGTGGACCTCCTCGCTTAGGCCCCTTTGTGAGAGGGCCTCCAGGGAATGGGGGGACCCCTAACCTAGCTCACAGCCGAAACCACTGTGGGGAGGGGACAGCATGGCAGTCCCGCGCAGGACGCTGGCTCCTGCCCGGAGCACCAGCCCCACCGTAGCAAAAACCGCTCTTCGCGGCTGCACAGTGTCAAAGGACTCCGGCCGGCGGCCGGACCTGGGATCGCCCGCCGTCCGCCCCGACTCCGCGCCCAGCAGACCCTCCTCACCCCCCTCCCGCGCTGGCTCGAATGGTTCCTCCCGGCTCCGCCCCCTGGGCGCGGGGAATCTGGAGTTTCTGTGAATTGGACGTGACCCGGACACACACGAGAGAGCTCCCCGCCCGGCCAAGTAAAACAAAACAAGCCTGTTAAATGGGGCGTCTCCTAAAGATAATTAAGTCTACGTGCGACTCTTATCGCCTCGAGCTCTGTCTGTTGCTTCATTCACTTAAAAAAAGAGTTTATGTTATCTTTATTTGAAAAGCCGGATTGCAGAGCGTAAGAGGGAGGGAGAGAGGGAGGACAGAGCCAGCTTTCATCCTCTGGGTCACTTGCCTGGTGGCCGCAATGGACAGAGCTGGAGTAGGAGCCGGCCACCCCATCCAGGTCTCCGACATGGATGCAGGGACACAAGCACTTGGGACAGTTCCCCTGCTCTCTGCCCAGTGCATTGAAGAGAGTTGGAGTGGCAATGGAGCAGCAGGACTTGAAATGGTGCTGTGCTGTGGGATGCTAGCATTGCAGGTGGGGACTTAATTCCAACAGCAGCACCTCTGATTGGGAGCTTTTATCCCTCAGGTATGGGGTGTTGATTAGTGATGTTGTTGTAATGCCCATAATTGCCATTTGCATTTGACATACCTTTGTACCCTATGAGCATGTGGCCACAACAAATTGGACTTTTGTACTTTGGCTGAAATTTTTTTTTGTAAGAGTTTATGATTTATTTGTAAGGAAAGTGAATGGGGTGATGGGGACAGAGAAGAGATCTTACATCTGCTGGTTTATTCCCCAAATGTGCATGCCAGCTGGAGCCAGGATCTTCATACATGTCTCCCATGTGGGTGGCTGGGCCCAAGAACCTGGAGCATCTTCCACTACTTTCCCAGGCACATTTGCAGAGAGCTGGATGGAAAGTGGTACTGCAGGGTCTCAAACTGGTATCTGTGGGAGATGTCTGTGTTGCTGGTGGCAACTTAACGCACAATGCCACAGCACTGCTCCCACCCTGCCCTGCCAAAGGCTTTTGTTTTTGTTTTAAGGAGGCCATCAGACAGGTTTCTAGCAAAGATTTTCTTTGTAGTCATCTAAAGGCTTCTGTGTTGCACTTGGGCTGTTTTTGTTTGTTTGTTTGTTTTTTTGTTAGTGGTGTACATTTCTTCCTTATCAGAGTTCTGCTGGTCTAACCATTTTCCTGCATGCTCCAATCCAATCCTGTGGTCATGCTGACCGGAGTAGGCCAGATTGCTTTGTAACTTTAACAGCTTTTCATGGCTAGTTTCTAGAATTTTCAAACAGGCATGATTTATGTGTTGAATTGAACAAATCTTCCAATAAGCCCCAAGCTCAGCAGTTAGCTTTTGTGAAACAGAAGATGAAAGTGCAAAGGAAGAGGTGTTGTGCGCAGTTACACAGGGAGTCCAGCAGGAGTGGTCTGCTTCATAGTTAGAAAATGCCTGAAGAATGTAGAAAGAAAACAAAACACCGAAAGGCAGAAGGGTTGTACTGAGACAGGCAGGTAGAAGAAGCTGAGCTCCCTGGGGGCAGTTCCTGTTCTCAAGACCTACAAAATACAGGTTTAGCCCTGCTTCCTATCAGCTCCCTGCTTGTTTTCTTTTTCTAGTCTTGACTTCTTGGAAGGTCACATAAACAGTTTCTCTGCAGCTTGAGGACGTGGGAATTTGGGGTCAGTGACTGGTCCGATTTTGAGTTGAGTCTGCTGGGTTGTAATGAAGTGTTTTATCTGGAAGAGTGGAATTCTGTAATTTTTATTTAACAGGCATATTTTTTTTTTACATATTTCAGTGGCATTTCTGTGTATGCCTCTAACTGCTTGCAAGGGTTTTTCTGAGTAGGATTGTTATATCAAAGCATACACTCATGTTAAATCTGAACAGTGTTTTCATATTATTATTATTTTATGATATAGTTCCATAGATCTGAACAGATTTTTTAATTAGGTTTATTTATTTTGATTGGAAAAACAGGTATACAGAGAGGAGAGACAGAGAGGAAGATCTTCCATCCGATGGTTCACTCCCCAAGCAACCTGCAACGGCTGGAGCTGAGCCAATCTGAAGCCAGGAGCCAGGAGCTTCTTCCAGGTCTCCCACGTGGGTGCAGGGTGCCAAGGCTTTGGGCCTGTCATGTTCTATCACTCTGTTTCTCTCTGCTCCACCCCCTCTCCCCTAACTGTGTAAATTCCCAAACTCCTTTCTGTGCAGGGAGATTGATTTGTTCCTTGCTATGAGTTGCCCATTTCTCTTACAGGGCTGTAGTTAGTAACAAACGTTGTCTTTCTCAGAAGGCTGATGCAGAAATAGAATGTGTGTGAGCTGGAGGACTTGTCACCAACAGTCATTTTATCTGTGGTAAATTGTGATAAATTGAAGGTTAAGGAAATGACTGGAGGCCAGGGTACCTGGAACAGGGTAGGTGTGACCAAAAACCCGAAATCCTGAGCAGAGAGATTGAACATTCTCTCTTCTTTAATCTTCAGCCTCTTGTCTCCAGCACTGCTGTTTCACATGATAAGGATGGTCTAAGCTTTTGGTTGAGGCAACCAAGATGGGGGCTGGTTTCCCAGATAATGCTGGAGGAGCCGCAAATCTTTAGGGGTAGCTGTGATTAAGGCCTGAACCCGTCAGCCAGACATTGTGGAACCAGTAGGCAGGATGGAGGAGAGATTAAACCCTTCTCAACTGGGTTACCCTTGCTCTGTCCTCCAGAGGCCTGAGCGAAAAGGGAACGCCAACACAAGAGCTTTGTTAGGGCAGAGGCAGAACACCACTTGGCTAGGGTTTGTGTGAATCAATCAGGGTGAGCCAGATCATTGCCCTGTTGCATTTAATCACAGTCAAAACTAACTCCTGCAGTTTCCATATCATCTTGGAGCTGGTTACAAGGAACTAACCTAGTGGTTAGAGCACTCGGGGTAGGGTAAGGTGGGGAGTGCCAGGAAACCACGAACTCCGGGTCAAAAAAATGGAGGTTCAAGGTTAGCAGAACGGCGAAGACATCAGCTGAACTGGCAAGTGACCAAACGGGAGGCGTCAGGCTCGACTTGAGACATGCCTGAGTGGACCCTGCGCGAGAAGAACGCTAAGCCCAGACGCGCTCCCACACACATTCCGGCTGCCATGGGAGCCCAAAGGGGACAGGCGCATCTCGCCTCGCGCAGGGGCGTGGCCACCACAGACCACGCCCCTCTGCGTGCCGACGTCGCCCCGCCCTCGCGCCCTCCCGCTGTCCCGGCTGCCGCGGCGGCTGAGCCTGAGGGAGTCGCCGACAGACGACAGACGGGCTCGCTGGCCGCGGAACCGGCGTCCGCGCAGAGCGGACTGGCGGCGGGTAAGTTGGCCCGTGCCCTCCGGGCCCCGAGTCCGGCCCTCCCGGCAGGCGTTGCCTCGTCCCGGGCCCTCAGGAGCTGGGCTCGGCGGGCCGATGCTGGCCTGACTGGGGAGCGTGGCGGAGAGAGCGGCCGGAAGCGGGCAGGGGGCGAGGAGGGGACAGGGACGGGAGGCCGGGGCCGGCGGGATGAGTGTGCGTGAGGGCGAAAGCCCGGGAGCCGCTCCCCGGACGTCTGGGCCGGGCCCGGGGAGACCCGAGCGGCCCCTTGGCGGGATGTCTTCCTTGGGCCCACTGCCTCCCAGTGTGCTCGCTTAAGGTGACCCCGGGGTCGCTCGCAGCTTGGTGGAGCCGGCGGGATTGCGGCCTCGGCCGCGGGGGTCTGAGATGGGAGCCTGGCGTGGCGGCCCCGCTGGCACTGCGTGCGCTCTCTCCTTGTCTGGTGAGTCACGGCAGTGGGAAGTGCCCCTTGAATCACCGACGTGACTTGGTGGGACCGGGAGTTTTGACCTGTCACTCGCCCTGGCAAAGCCGCGGGGACCGCCTTACACGGGCGTGGCCCGAGGCCTGCCTGCAAAGTGCAGGATGTTGAGGGGCCTGTGGGCGCTCATCCTCCTGGAGCTCGTGGATGGCAGTCTCAACCGAGCAAGGTGGGGTGCAGCGGTGGATGCCGCGTAGGACTCTCCTGTGGAACCCCCCGGACACCACTTAAGTTTTCCTCCCGCGTGAAAGGGGTCAGTGCTGAGCTGACCTCACCTGCGTCCCACAACCAAGGTGACACTACTGGCCAAGGTGACACTTGAGCCTGCCTCAAGTTTTTGGCTCTTGTCTAAATGGAATTACAAAGATTAGAAATGGATCCTGCTGCTTAAAGTGACTTTCCCTGCCTGCCCGTAGTGGCCTGCTCAAGTAGAGGGAGAAGTGCTTTTGGCCTATGTGTTTTGGATTAAACTTTAACTAGTAAAATATTTAGCATCTTTTCGAAGGGGAGGATAAAGAATATAACTCATTTATTTTATTAGATTTTTAAAAGAAAATCACAAGACATGGTCTTTGTTTCTCAGGAATTCGCAGTTCAGCATGGCGTTTGTAAGTGCACTTGATCAAACTGGAAAATAAGTTCTCAAATACACAACCTAAGATGAAACTCTGCCTCTCTGTCTCTCTTCCTGTCTGTATATCTGATTAGGATGTGGGAACCTGTAGGGCCTTAGAAACTCACGCATATTCAAAGACTTTATCAAACTGGGCATGTCAACTGGGAAATCCTGTGATTCCTCCATTGTTTAATTTCATTTCCCTTTTTCCCTTGCTTAAACCAGGAAGTTGAGGTGCTGTTGAGCTGCTGGAGTCAGGATTATGGTTCTCTAGAAATGACTGTGTCGGACACATGAATTACAGAAAAGAGCGTTTGCTTGTCCTTAGCCAACCCCTCAGCAAGGCTGTTGAAAACTTGTGCAGCTACACAGCTTAGGCTACCTTCATTTTTATTTTAATTTTTTAACGATTTATTTATTTTTATTGGAAAGGCAGATATAAAGAGAGGAGGAGAGACAGAGAGGAAGATCTTCTGTCTGATGATTCACTCCCCAAGTGACCGCAACGGTTGGAGCTGAGCCAGTCTGAAGCTGGGACCAAGAATCTCTTCCGGGTCTCCTATGTGGGTGCAGGGTCCCACAGTTTAGGACCATCCTCTACTGCTTTCCCAGGCCACAAGCAGGGAGCTGGATGGGAAGTGGAGCTGCCAGGATTAGAACTGGCGCCCAAATGAGATCCCAGTGCGTTCAAGGTGAGGACCTTAGCTGCTAGGCTACGGCACCGGGCCCTATTTATTTTAATTTTGACAGCTGTCCTCATAGGATAGTTGGGTTCTGTGCAGGATTGTCCCAAAATCTGGAATATTGCTGCTCCAGGAGGAAGGTATTTTAGAAACTGAGAATTGAATGTTGCAGTGTAAAATGTAGAATTCAGCTGTAATTTCTTTGGCTCAAAGAAGAAATGAAAAACATGAACTATGAATTGCCCTCTTGTATATTATTGGCTATAGTTAACTGCAGAGTTAAAATTAGGCATCTAGGGTACTGCATGGTACCCTAGTGGCTATAGTGGCTAAAGTCCTTGCCTTGCACATGCTGAGATTCCATATGGGCACTGGTTCTAATCCTGGAAGCCCCGCTTCCCATCCAGCTCCCTGCTTGTGGCCTGGGAAAGCAGTCGAGGATGGCCCAAAGCCTTGGGACCCTGCACCTGCATGGGAGACCTGGAAGAAGTTCCTGGCTCCTGGCTTCGGATCTTCGCAGCATCTGCCCTTGCTGTTACTTGGGGAGTGAATCATCAGACAGAATATCTTCCTCTCTGTCTCTCTTCCTGTCTGCAATAAATAAATTCCTGTTTGCAATAAAAATGTAATAAATCTTAAAAAAAAAAAGAAAAATTTGCTAACCTGATTGAAAAAAAAAACATTCTGTCGTTATGTGGTATCATATTTTACTTAATCTAGTTGAATAACTTGTAATAGCTGTCACTGTATTTTTTTTTTCTGAACTTGGGGCTCCAAGTGTTTTAGCGTTCAGGAGTGCCAGAAAGGTTGGTGGTATATGATATTTGGAATCAGAGCTGTTATGGAAAGTCTGGAACATAGGCACTGTTGTCTGTACCACACGGTTAGTGTTTGTGGAAAGCTGTGCTGTGTTGAAGTGTCTTATTTCTACCTCTGTCTCTAGAGTGAAAGCTATTTGAAGTCCAGGCCAGTTAGTTGTCTTTAGTGAGCCTGTTAATGTTGATGAGAGTGTGTGTCGTCTCTTTGCCAAGGATAGCCATCTTCTGTAGATGCTTGATTTGCTGTTGTTGCAGCAAGACCACTCCATACTGCTGCGGAGGAGCTATTGTCCGCTGCAGCTGTTCACAGTGCAGAGAGCTCTGGGCTAGACTCAGTGTGAGTTGGGAGAGGGTTCAAGTAGTAGTGTTTGAAGTGAACTAAAAACTAAATGAAGCAGGGCTGGCATTACGGAGCTGCTGTTCACTGATGAGGCCTCCACCTGTCTGTGCTGCTGGCTGCTGTTTAGAACTGGCTGTTTAAAACTCTTTTGCTCTGATTCTGATCCAGCTCCCTGCTCACGTGCCTGGGAAAGCAGCCTAGGATGGCCTAGTGTGTGAGCCCCTGCCGCTCGCATGGCTCCTAGCTTTGGTTTGGCCCAGCCTGTATCATTGCTACCATTTGGAAAATGAACCAGTGGATGAAAGATCTGTCTCTTGTTTTTGTCACGTTGCCTTTCAAGTAAAGAAGTAAATTTTTAATGCAGTTTTAGCTGCCTTTTTTTCTGAGATTCGTTTATTTTCGCTTGAAAGATAAATTTTACAGAGAGAAAAATAATATATTTTAAAGATTTATTTGTTTTTATTGGAAATGCAGATTTACACAGAGGAGAGACAGAGAAAGATCTCTCTGCTAGTTCACTCCCCAAGTGGCTGCAGTGGTTGGAACTGATCTGATTTGAACTCAGGAGCCAGGAGCTTCTTCAGGGTCTCCCACACGGGTGCTGGGTCACAAGGCTTTGGGCCATCCTCATCTGCTTTCCCAGGCCACAGGCTAAAGGCAGGGAGCTGGATGGGATCCTGGATGGGGTCCTGGCATTCAAGGCGAGGACCTTAACTGCTATGCTATAGTGCTGGGCCCTATTTTTAATATTTTTTATGTTTTGCCCACTATACCGTCTTTTGTGCAGGGTGTTAAGAAAAGGTTTGAATAGGGCAAAGACTTTCCAAGGGTCTTTTTCAAGCTCTGCCAAACACCTCTCCCAGAATTGATATTTATCAAGAAGTTTACATTAACATATATTCTGTCCATCACGCCGACATTTTTGAGGCACAGTAAATCTTCAGGAGACAAAGGGATAGATCTGTTTAGATTTGAAATACTTAACAAATGTTTGACACTGGATTCCAGGGACCTTGAGATGAGATACTGTGTCTCAGTCGTTACTATGACTGTGGGTGCTATAGGGATGTGCAGATCCTATTGTGACCTGGATTCCGTGTAGCGATGCCCTGGAACCCCAGGCCACACTGTCCAGTGCCTCGGCATGAATGGTGAGGCATGCAGTCTGCCCCTTTGGGGCCAGCCGTGCTCCATGACACAGAGGTAGACCTCAGCGGGGAGTGGTCTGCTTGGGTTGCTGTGTAATCTGAGCAAGCCAAGGTGAGTGTTTTGGGAATAGGCAGCAGCTCCTGGACCTTTACATAGGAGGCCCAGCACTTATTTCTCAGAAATTATTGGTTCACACTTAACTTTTTTTTTTTTTTAATAAAGATTTATTTGTTCTTATTGGAAAGGCAGATATACAGAGAGGAGGAGAGACAGAGAGGAAGACCTTCTGTGCAATGATTCACTCCCTATGTTGCCGCAACAGCTGGAGCTGAGCCAATCTGAAGCCAGGAGCCAGGAGCTCTTCCGGGTCTCCCACACAGGTGCAGGATCCCAAGGTTTGGGCCATCCTTGACTGCTTTCCCAGGCCACAAGCAGGGAGCTGGATGGGAAGCTGGGCTTCCGGGATTAGAACCGGCCCCATATGGGATCCCGGAGCGTTCAAAGTGAGGACTCTAACCACTATGCCATCGCACCGGGCCCCACACTTAACTTTCTTGCTTGAACAATAAATCACCTTCTCTGGCTTATCCCTTACACAGTCACATGTAAGTACAAGGAGTTACAGACCCCTCTGTAGCTAGTTGTTCCAGTTCTAATGTTGCTATTGGTCTGTGGCAAGTTGTAGGTTTCAGTCAGGGCTTCTGTGCACTCAGATCTCTAAAGCTTTTCTATCTGCTGACAAATCCCCACTTGCGTGTCCCTTAGGGATTAAGGAGACAGCTCTGGGAACTGTTCCTCTCAAATAGCGGAGGTGGCAGTCAGAGAACAGGGGCAGGTCCTGTACTGAGTTCGGTCTGGTGTGAAGACCAGTCCCACTCGTCACCAGCAGTGCTTGGCTACAGGTCCCTTTATGAGCCCGGAGTCTGTGTTTCCTGGTGTCTGCTTTGCCGACTTGCCAGGTTGTGTTTGAATGATCGGGCGATAAGCATGTCTGCTCTCCCCATAAAAAAGCCTGCAAGCGTCTTGGAGTTCTGAGCTGATGTCACTTTTTGAGATTGCTGAGAAGCTAATGCCTTTTAACTAATTTGATTAAAGAAAATTAATAGTGATTTGTTCAATGGTCCTGTGGATTGAATCCCAGGTATTTCAAATTAAAGGAATGTAGTTTGTGTGAAACATTTCCTGAGAAGTCAGAGTATAAGAGTTTGTTTTTTTTTCCCAAGATTTGTTTTATTTACTTAATAGGCAGAGGTTCAGAGACTTGGAGGGGAGAGGTTGATCTTCCGTCTGTTGGTTTACTCACCAGAAGTTCACAATGAGTGGGGATGGGTCAGGCCCAATCCAGGAGCCAGACACCTTGTCTCAGTCTCATATGGGTGCAGGAGCCCAAGCTGTTGCGCCACCCCTGTTGCCTTCGCAGACACATGAACAGGGTGCTGAATCACAAGTTGAGCAGCCAAGACTGGAATTGGTGTTTTTTGTTTTGTTTTGTTTTTTAAGATTTATTTTTATGGGAAAGTCAGATATATACAGAGAGGAGGAAAGACAGAGAGGAAGAACTTCCATCCATTGATTCACTCCTCAAGCGGCCACAAAGGCTGGAACTTAGCAAATCTGAAGCCAGGAGCTTCTCCCACTTGGGTGCAAGGTCCCAAAGCTTTGGGCTGGATGGGAAGCAGGACTGCTGGGATTAGAACTGGTGTCCATATGGGATCCTGGCACTTTCAAGGCAAGGACTTTGGTTGCTAGGCTTCCGCACTGGGCCCAAAATGCTTTAAATTTTTTAAAATTTTTATTGGAAATTTGTATTTATGGAGAGAAGGAGAGACAGAAAGGGAAAGATCACGTCGTTCATTCCTCAAATGACCACATCATCTGAAACTGGGCCAGGCTGAAGCCAGGAGCCAGGAGCTTCTTCTGAGTCTTTCACTTGAATACAAAGTCCCAAAAACTTGGGCCCCTCTCCATTGCTTTCCCAGGTCATAAGCAGGGAGCAGAATTGAATGTGGAACAGCTGATACATGAGCCGTTGCACATATGGATAGAACCGGCACCCATATGGGGTCTCGGGAGTGCAAGGCGAGGACCTTAACCACTGTGCCACCGTGCCGGGCCCAGAGATGAATTTAAATCACCCTTGGAACATCACATTCTGTCTGCGTGTTATTTTTTTGTTTGTTTTCATTTTTGGTAATAATTGATCTGAAAGTACACAAAATTAATCAATTGCTTTTACTAGGTGATAGGAAGTTATCAACTCTACTGCACCATTAAAGCATCAGTAGTTATGATTACAACATTAAGGTAACTAAAGTAATTTTTATAACAGTATCAGTTGAGACTTTTTTGAACTTGCAATCAATCCACTATAAATCAAAAAAATACTATTTCAAAGTAAGTGCAGTTACACCAAGTACAGATAAGAAAGTACAACAAGGTAATTGGCTGTGCTATACCAAACAGATGAAAAGCAAAATTGATTTTCTCCTGCAGATCCATGTAAAAAAAAATACAATTCTATCCTTTTTTCTATATGTATGCTCAGATTTCTTATACAAATAACATTTCTTATACCAAATGTTTCATTTCATTGACTTCATAACATGAACTCCTTAGAAAAAACGATTGAAAAGAGCTGATATCGACTCCCAAATTTTATGCTTATTTTCCCCACTTTTATCAATTTCCTGATGTGTTTAACATAAGCAGGAAAAAATTTTCAGTATTTGAGTCCATGAATCTACAAGTGTCTCACAGAAGTCTGCCAAGTTACATATATCCCATGTTGCTTTTGGCTGCTCCACTTCCGACCCAGCTCTCTGTCTGTGACCTGGGAAGGCAGTAGGATGGCAGGGAGACCTGGCCTGATAGGTGCCGGTGTTAGTAGTTTTGTCTTTGTGACTATCAGTTGTTGATGTTACATCAGTGCTATTCATTTGGAAAGTTCCCCAAATGGACTGCTCTTCCACTGCCAGAGCAGACGCCTCTTGGGATGAAGGATGAGCTTGTTGTGTTGTGGGACTGTATTTCCCTGGCTGACGAAGTCTCTTCTGTTGCAATAGGCAGTGGGAATTGATCGGCCTGCTTACTGCTTCCTTCAGCCCCGCAGAGCCCTGAGCACGCTGGGACAGCCTCGTGTTTAGTGACTCACAATGCAGCTAATACAAACTTGCCAGGCCCTTGTTGACTGCTCCAAAGTGGAACTGCTCCAAGCAGCCTGACATAACCAAGCGTCAGTTCCTTCTGCCCCCCCTGTCCCTTGGGCAAGGCTGGCAGGTAGAGGAGCTGTCCTCAGGGCAGTTGTGCTGCTAGAGGAACCCTGCAGCTGCTAATATGTTGGATTTTATTTTATTAATGTATTTAAAAGGCACTGAAAGAGGTATCACGCCATCCATTAGTCAGTCAGTCTTCCATCACTGGTTTATTCCCCCACCTGCGATGGCTAGGCATGGCCCAGGCAGAACAAATCAAGCCTGGTCCTGAATCCAAGTCTCCCATATCGGTGGTGCAGATTCAAGTGCTTGGGCCAACGTCCACTCTTAACAGGATGTGAGTTAGAAGGAAGTTGGCTCCAGAAGCAGAACTCAAGTTTGGGCACTATGATATGAGATGCAAGTATCTTAGACATTGTCCATTCAATTTTTTAAAAAGATTTATTTATTTTTATTGGAAAGGCAGATGAAATTTATGGAGAGAAGGAGATAAAGATCTTCCGCTGGATCACTCCCTAAGTGGATATAACAGCTGGAGCTGAGCTGACTTGAAGCCAGGAGCCCAGAGCCTCTTCCAAGTCTCCCACATGGGTGCAGGGTCCCAAAGCCTTGGGCCGTCCTCCACTGTTTTCCCAAGCCACAGGAAGAGAGCTGGATGGGAAGTGGGGCTGCTGGGATTAGAACTGGTGTCCATATGGAGTCCAGTGGATGCAAAGCGAGGACTTTAGCCACTAGGCTACTGCACCAGGCCCTTTAATTGGATTTTTAATGTTTGCATAGTTGAGAAGGATGTATGCCCATGTGGCCCACAGATTAGGGTGGGAAGGGTTGAGGATTAGGAGAAATTGTTTCTAGATTTTCTTCTTCCTGTATCAGGGAAGGGATGACACACCCAGCATCTCAATGGCATAGGTAGCCAGAAATGGAGAATGGCCACCCGATGTCATCCCAGGGTCCCTGATGTGGGGCTGGATGAGCCATTTCTGATCCACCTTCCCACCAGTGTGCCTAGGAAAACAGTGGAGGACAGTCCAAGTACTTGGTTCCTGGACCCATGCGGGAATCCACAATGAACTCCTGGCTCTTGGCATGAGACTGGCTTTGCAGCTGGTTCTTGGGTCGTTTGTGGGGAGTGGACAAGTGAATGCACAGTGGCTCTCTTTGCTTCTATGTGTAATTCTGCCTTTCAAGTGAATAAATGAATCTTAAAAGTGGAATAGTCAGGACACAAGTTGATACCATATGAGATGCTGATGGTATGTATGGTGGCTTTCCCCTTGAAACTCCTATATTTTATGGCACAACACTGGTCCCTACATTGCCCTAACTGCTGGACCAAAATGCCCCCCAACTTCTCCAAAGCCTTTATGATGTGTTTTATTTTTTTAAAGATCTTGTTTGTTTTTATTGCAAACTCAGATATACAGAGAGGAGGAGAGACCGTCTTCAACTGCTTTCCCAGGCCACAAGCAGGGATCTGGATGGCAAGTGGAACAGCCGGGATTAGAATCGGCTCCCATATGGGATCCTGGTGTGTTCAAGGCAAGGACCTTAACCACTTGGCCACCGCGCCAGACCCATGATGTTGTTGCTTTATTTTATTTTATTTTATTTTATTTTATTTTATTTTATTTTATTTTATTTTATTTTATTTATTTTATTTTATTTTATTTATTTTATTTTATTTTATTTTATTTATTTTATTTTATTTTATTTATTTTATTTTATTTTATTTTATTTTATTTTATTTTATTTTATTTTATTTTATTTTATTTTATTTTATTTTAATGTGACTATTGGGCCTAGTGTGATGGTTCAGTTGGCTAATTCTCTACCTCCAAGCTTTGATTCCTGTCAACTTCCCTTCCAGCTCCCTGCTTATGACCTGGGAAAGCAATGGAGGACAGCCAAAGGCCTGGGGACCCTGTGCCTGTGTAGGAGACCCGGAAGAAGCTCTTGGTTCCTGGCTTTGTATTGGCTCAGCTCTGGCCATTGTGGCCTTTTGGGGAGTGAACCAGAGAATGGAAGATCTTTCTGTCTCTTCCTTCTCTGTGTAAATCTTCCTTTCCAATAAAAATAAGCAATTCTTAAAAATGTGGCCATTTTATAGGATTTCTTTCTTTTTTTCTTTTCTTTTTTTTTATTGTAAATGCTTTAATAGAAATATACAATCTCACTTTCTCGGACAGCAGGAAAGGGATTTGAAAGAAACACTGAGAATATAGAGTTTTGCCACAAGGATGTAGCAGCAGATAGGATTTCTAATGTACAGGAAAAAATTGAAAAAACCATAGCATCTGACAGTAAACTAGGTAGGAAATCCCTTTACTTCTGAATACCTGGCTTCATTTCGTCAGTCAGGATACACTTCTGTAATCAGTATGCAGCTTATAAAGAAAGGCCAAGACTGACAAATTCAGCGTCAGTGTAAATGCTGACTTCTACTCTGTGCACATTCAGACTTTGTCAGTGCTCTGCTGTGGTCTCAGTAGTGACAGAGTGTCAGGACTGTCCTTGTGTTTCACTGGTTCTGCTAACTCAGGGGTGCCAGTGGGCAGGTGTTGGGGGAGGTGCTGTGGGTGTTTTGCATCACTAGCTGTTTCTGTCTCAACAGGACTAGAGTGAGGGCAGAACCACTCAGCAACCATGTCAGCAGAGATGGAGACCTCCGAAGGGGTAGACGAATCGGAAGGAAAGAACTCTGGGGTCCTGGAAAAGGAAAACCACCTCAGGTGAGCAGTGGGAGCTGGCTGCATTGAGTCAGATGCTTCCAGGGCTTGGTTCATCTGTTGGTGGCACCGGCGTGGTCATGGCCGAGGGTGGCGGGACTGGGATGAGCAGTGGCATGTGGTGATACAAGTGAATCCAAAGCGGCCAGAAGCCGGGCTGCGTCTTGTCTGTTTACAGTGGGCTGGTGGTGTGGACGCATGTGAGCCCTGTCCATCTCTCAACACAGCTTTATCCTGATTTTTATCCTACTCCAGTAGATACTTTGTTAATGAAACATTTAAATCTATATGACAAACTGTGTTGAAAGTTCTATTTTTCTTCAATTCTGAGTTTTGTACTGATCTTAATTAACTTCACTGCTGTTCCCATAGAAACTGGCAATGCAGTCAGTAAGATGCAAAGGTAATAAAATATATGCAGAAGCATTGTACAGGTACAATAAACAGCACTTATTTCCGATGTGATTTTGTTAGGCACCACAAGGCCAAGATCCTAGTCCCAACCTCCTGGTTGTCACCTTAATCTTCCTATACCTGGGCCTGGCTCCATGTTGAGGAAGGCAATCTAACCATCTTGAAATTTCTGTGCTGCCTCCGAGACATTCCCAAAGGCCGGGCTGCAGAAGTCAGCAAACACGGATGGGAGTAGGCCACTAGGTGGCCAAAGAGGCAAAAGCATCAGCATACAGCATTCAGTGAAAGGCAGAGAGTGATGGGGCACTAGGCAAAGAGATTATTATCAAGAGCTCTTCCATTCACTGGGTTACTCTCCAAATGGCAACAGTGGGAAGGGCTGGACCAGGCTAAAGTCTGGCGTCTGGAACTCCATCTGTCTCCCATGTGGGTCCTGGGGACTGAAGTGCTTGAGCCACCATCTGCTGCTTCCCAGGCACACTGGCAGAAAGCTGGATCTGAAGTGGGTCACGGAACTTGTGCTGCAGTCAGGTTCTTAACACAGATGTGTGCTTTTGACGAGCAGACCACAGTCATCCTGTATCCTGAGTCCTTGGGGCAGACTAGCTTGTCTGCTCACCCTGTGTTCCCTGACAAGACTGTACTGTTCCTGTTGGAATGCAGTGTCTGAGCAGCAACTTGGAAACTTTTTTTTCCCTCCAAATTTTATTTATTTATTTATCGGAAAGGCAGAATCAGAGAGAGCAAGAACAGAATCTTTCCACTGGCTCACTTCCCAAAAGACCACAATAGCCAGGGCTGGGTCAGGCCAGAGGGAGGAACCTGGAGCTGCTTCTAGGTGTCTCACATGAATTTGGGGCCCAAGAAGTTGGGTCATTTCGTGCTGCTTTCCCAGGCACATTAGCAGGAACTTGGTAGGAAATGGAGCAGCCAGAACTTGAACTGCAACCATATAGGATGCTAGCATTTCAAGTGTTGCTATACCACAGTGCCGGCTCCTGAGTGGTCTTCAACTCATGTGGTAGGAAGGACTGATTAGTTAATTACTAACTCTCTCACTCACTCACACACACTCTCACCCACCCGAACCTCCTTTTCCCAACAGAATGGCTGATCTCTCTGAGCTCCTGAAGGAGGGAACCAAGGAAGCACATGACCAGGCAGAAAATACTCAGTTTGTCAAGGACTTCTTGAAAGGCAACATTCAGAAGGAAATATTTAAGGTTTGTGCTCTCTCAGATGAGGGTGGGTTCATATAGGGTTGGCGGGAATCTCAGTGTCCAGGAGCTGCTCAGAGGGAGCGACTGAGCTGTTCTCCACACTCCACATGCTTTCTTACATTAAGCTTTGGCTCTCATTGCTTAAATGGAATGACATAACCACATAAAGGAAACAAAAGTATCAATATTCTTTTTTATAGATTTATTTTTTGAAAGGCTGAGTTAGAGAGGAGGACAGAATCTTCCTTCCACTAGTTCACTCACCAAATGGCTACAGTGGCTGGAGCTGGGCCAGTCTGAAGCCAGAAGCTTCTTCCAGGTCTCCCACATGGGTGCAGGGGCCCAGGCAGTTGCACCACCTGTTGCTGCTTTCCCATGCACATTAGTGGAGCTGTATCAGAAGTAGAGCAGCTAGAACCTGCACTGTTACCCATATTGGATGCCAGTGCTGCAAGTGATGGCTTTACCCTCTGTACTATAGTGCCGGCTCCAAAAGTATCTATGTCTTAAATGATTCATTATCTCATTCCTGCAAGAGGTATAAAAACTGGGCCTGGCGCGATAGTATAGTGGTTAAAGTCCTTGCCTCGAACGCACCGGGATCCCATATGAGCACTGGTTCTGATCCCAGTGGCCCCACTTCGCACCCAGCTCCCTGCCTGTGGCCTGGGAATGCAGTCGAGGATGGCCCAAAGCCTTGGGACCTGCACCCGTGTGGGAGACCTGGAAGAGGCTCCTGGCTTCGGATCGGCACAGCATCGGCCCTTGCTGTCACTTGGGGAGTGAATCATCAGACAGAAAATCTTTCTCTCTGTCTCTCCTCCTATCTGTATATCCGCCTTTCCAATAAAAATAAATAAGTCTTTAAAAAAAAAAAAAGAGACAAAAGCTTCCTGGGCATGTTGATTAGATATATTAAACTTGGTCATAACATTGGGTCTTTGGGAAATGGAAGGAGTGTGCTGCCTGCTTCTTTGTGTCCAGACGCTCAAACATGGTAAGTTTGCACACTGCCAGCCAATCCACAGTGTCATTCCCTTCCCCCATAGCTGGCCACCACCGCACTTTACTTCACTTATTCAGCCTTGGAGGAGGAAATGGACCGCAATAAGGACCACCCAGCCTTTACTCCCTTGTACTTTCCCATGGAGCTGCACCGCAAGGAGGCGCTAACCAAGGACATGAAATACTTCTTTGGTGAAAACTGGGAGGAGCAGGTGCAGTGCTCTAAGGCTACCCAGCGATATGTGGAGCGGATCCACTACATAGGGCAGAATGAGCCAGAGCTGCTGGTAGCCCATGCATACACCCGCTACATGGGGGACCTCTCAGGGGGCCAAGTGCTGAAGAAGGTAGCCCAACGGGCCCTGAAACTCCCCAGCACAGGAGAAGGAGTCCAGTTCTACCTGTTTGAGAATGTGGACAATGCCCAGCAGTTCAAGCAGTTCTACCGGGCCAGGATGAATGCCCTGGACTTGAACATGAAGACCAAAGAACGGATCGTGGAGGAAGCTAACAAGGCCTTTGAGTACAACATGCAGGTACTGCTTGGAGCTGGCTGGGGACCCTGACCTCTGGGTGCCCCAGTTGCTCAGGGGTGTGCTGAGCCATTAGGACAGAGGGGCTGCAGTAGCCTGAAAGACAAGGAACCAGGTTGGCCACCAGAAGCCATGAACCTTGAGTATAGCTCCCAGCAGACAAAGCCTGTTGGGTAGATGCCCATATGTGAAGGGATCTGGGGGAGTGGAACTGTCTACTTCCCTCTCCTCATTGGATTCTGATCTTGAGGAAGGGATAATTTCCTTGACAAAGATTGCTGTGCAAAGTCTGCTGTTGATCTGAGGGAGGCACAGTCACCAAAGAGAGCAGTCTGAACGGAGTGAAGCTAGGGAGGCCTATTCTGTTCCCACAGCCAAGGGCAGTTCCTGGGGACAAGGGAAGTGGTCGTGGGTGGGTGATGTGCCATGCTGACCACAAATGCTGCCAGCCCTCTTCTGTGGCCTCCAAGGAGGAGTCTGCCTAGCTGCAGCCTTTCTGCAGTCTCTCTCTTTTTTTTTTTTCAAGTTTCCTGCTTAAAAATAGCCAGTTACTAGAAGAAACAAAGCTGCAGCACACATTTCGTTTCCTTTGTGCCCTTACAAAGGAGGGCACAGGGCACACATCTTGTCCGTGTGCCAGCAGCATAGCCAGTGCCTTGTAGGAGTGCCACCCCTGCCCCTAGATGCTGCTTGGGCGCTGGCTGGTGCTCCTAAGCAAGCTCCTCTGAGTGTACGGCTCATGGATGGCTCAGAGGATTGTCCTCTGCTCCTCAGATATTCAATGAACTGGACCAAGCTCGCTCTGCACTGGCCAGAGAGACTGCAGAGGATGGGATCCCCGTGCACGATGGGAAAGGAGATGTGCGCAAATGTCCCTACTATGCTGAGCAGGTCAAAGGTAAGCCCGCGCGTGCTGAGCTTCCCTGTGGGCTGGGGTTCGGCGGCCCCCACTGACACACTCTCACTCTGGTGTTGCCATGCAGGTGCCCTGGGGGGCAGCAGCTGCCCTTTTGGAGCAGCCATGGCTTTGCTAAGGAAGCCCAGCTTCCAGGTCATTCTGGCTGCTGGTGTGGCTCTGGCAGCAGGACTCTTGGCCTGGTACTACATGTGAAGGACAACACGTCACACTGGGGGCTTCCTGCCAAGTGACCACAGGCCCATCTCCACCTCTGATTAAATCATCACCTCAGGTGACTTTTTAAAATTCTGGGTTTCAGAAAATAAGAAACCAGTAGAAGCCAGACGCTCAGGCCTCTGCCTAATAGCATCCTCTCTGTGGACCAGATGCTGTACTGGAACTGGCTAGCCCTGTAGAGCAGGGCAGGGCGGCCCAGCCGTCGAGCCAGCTCTATGCTGGGGCTTCCACACCTCCAGGCCCTCAGCTGTTCCTTTATTATTCCCTGTTTTCAGGCTGTCATCTCCCTGCTGGGAGCAAGTAGCCACTAAGCCCAGGCTCTGTGCAGGGACCCCTTGCCAGACCAGGCTGTTCAACTTCTGAGCCTCTTTTTGGGGGCTTTGGGATGGACAGAAACCAGGCACTCCCCTCATTCTCAGAGGCCCCAGGAACTCATCCCTCTCACACTGAGCCCTTTTGAGAAGTCTTTGCTGCAGCCTGCCTTCCCTGACTTGTGTAACTGCTACAGCACTCAATAAAGTGGACTCTGCACTCTGCAAGCGTCTACCTTCTTCTTTGGCACAGGGTGGTTCAGGCGATCTCTTGGACCCCTTAGTCCACAGGCATGAAGAGTGAAGATGTTCTGTATCCATGTGGAGATGTGGACATCTTCCTTCCTGTTGTGCTTCCAACACTGGCAGACGCTGTGCCCGTCATCGCCAGGGTAGCCACCCTGCACAGCTCTGTCACAGAGTTCCTTACAGTTTATATGGTCTTGTGATTTTCTAACTCAGAAAGTAGGTTTCCTACTAAAATTGTACATATCTGTATTCAAACAATTCATTATCTAAAGTAGAAATGTAAATTTGAAGCGTTTTTATTAATAGCACTATTACTTGTAAAATATTTACTCCAAAACAGGTTTAACAGTAGGGAAACTTTTAAACTCTGTCTAAGCTTACTTCCTTCACAGTTCAAATAAATTAGTGGGCAAGGAAGGAATTAGCTGGCAGGGAACCTGGGCATCCAGACTGCCCTGCTGACCTTTGGGCTGTAAGCCTCAGCTAAGTAGCAGTCTCACGCAACAGGAGTTCCTGCCTGCAAGGGAGGCTGATGTCAAGTCCAAACTCGAGGGGCTCCAGCCTATAGGTTGTGGACGTGGCTGCTGTGGAGTACAGATCTTGAAACCAGAAGTAAGATGACTTCACAGCCATGTTGCAGCCTACTGATGCCCTGGTCACAGCCGAATCTTCAAGGCTGATCTGTACCTGACTCGCTTGGTTTTCTAGGTCCTCGAATGTCAGCATTGTCCCCAGGCAGTTGGCACCAGGTAAGCGCAAGACCTTGAAAACAGTCCTGCTGGCAGCCCAACTGCAGCACCCCCACCCCCTTCCCTCAGAAAAGGAAGCCAGGCAAGAGAGCAGAGGCTAGTGCAGGGGAGCGAAGAGCCAATTTAATGAGAAACTACAAACTGAGACAGGCCACAATTCACAGTGACAGGAGGCCATGCATTGGCAGTGCGAGACCAGGAGAGGGACAGCAGCAGGGTACAGCATCCATGGGAGCAAGTTCATGAACAAACCACTCGAGAAAGAAAGGTTGTGCTCAGGCCCAGGCGGGGTGGCATCTGCCAGGGCACTCCTACCACTTGTGGCTGCTCCTTCCTCCTTCCCAACCTGTCCTCAGCCTAGTGCCTCAGTGAGCCAGCTGGGCCAGAGGGCCTGGAACTTACTGAGAAGAAAACACAAAAGGGCCCCGCAGAACCCCCTACCCTGAGAAAGCCCCTTCTCCCAAGCAGAGGCTGAACCCATGTGCAGCGAGGACACAATGGGTTAGGCTCATGGGCATTCCTTCTGGCCTTGGAAAATACAATTCACAGAGACGTGGCCAGAAAGGGGATCTGCACACCAACCAGGAGGGAGCAAGGAGGGGCGCGAGGCAAGTCCCTGTTGGCTACCAGGACCTGTCTCACCTCTACACCAGGTGGCTCTTGGGCACATGCACAGGCCATTAGAGGTCCTGTGGTTTGATACCTGAGAGTTCTGAAGACCAGAGTTGGCAGTCACCATTTCTGACCATCATACCCTACCCCTCTCAGCCTAGAGGCACAGAGAACCTCAAACAAGACCAGGCCTCATGACCCTGTCCTGCTCGAGTCCATTCTCCCCAACCCCAGATGGCCACCTCATTTTTGCCAAGCAGGTCAAAAACCACTGTGGCTCCAGGCCTAGCCTAGGGACTGGTGGCTGGTCTGACTGCTTTTGGGCCTAAGGATAGTCAAGACTGAACCTGTACCTTGGATGGAAATATAGTACAAAGACCCCAGTTGGAGACCCTTCCAGGCTTATCTTCCTGATCATGCCACCAAGCAACCCAGCAGCACAAGCTTGGTGCCATCCCCTGTCACCCACTGACCTTTGGCCTTAAATCCAACAGAAGTTTTGCTGGAAGAGCTTCAGATGCTCGGGGCACAGCAAGGCTAAGAGGACAAGACTTCCAGGGGACAGTGGCATAGCTTCCAACTCCAGGGGGAGTGGGAAAGCCACCACATGAGCACAGGGAGCAAAGCACAGGGGACTAGACTGACAGGTGGGGAAACAGTCCCTGCTCCGTTAGCACAGGCGTTTGTATGTGTAGATGTAGGCTTTGCAGCTGGGACATGTGTGAGTCACATCCTTGAAGTCGTTGATGAGGCAGGGAATTAAGCAGCAGCCCAGGTCACACCTGAATTAGAGATGGAGAGACAGGTGAGGTCTAAGAGGGCAGAGGTGGCTACAGAGCCCCCATGCCTTGGCCTGTTAGTACCACACACCTACCCCATGAAGCAGCAGAAGAACCCCAACACGAAGTTCATCAGGCCAATCTCGTAGGAGATCTTGGTGGTGATGGCCTGCTGGCAGTGAGGACATACAGTCTGCACAGGTGCGCCTTCAAAGATCTCTCCCTGTAGCACTGTGACTGTAGTGGCAGCTCCCGAAGGGACCAGCACTGTAGCTGTGTGACCCCCAGGGCCAGGGTAGGGCCCTGGCGGGTAGGGCCCAGGGGGGTAGTAGCCCATGGGTGGATGGGGTCCTGGAGGAGGATAGAAACCTGGAACAGCACAGGAGATAGAACAGAGGGAAGTCACTGGCAGCTCACAGCCCCAACCTGGAGCACAGCTTAGGCCTAGGATTCCTCCACCCTCCTAATGGAAGCACTTGAGTCAGTGGAAGGCTTTGTCGCCAGGGTAGCCATCCATAATCTTGAACTTATGGGGGTGTGAGACAGATGTGGCAGAGAGCAAGCAATGTAGTCCAGCCTCTGCTTTGCTCCCCTGTCCTTGGAATGCAGGGACTAGGTACTCAGCCACAATCCTTGACACCAGGAAGGGAAGCCTCACCCCTCCTGCACCTGGGGCTGTTCCCCGATCAGATCCTGGTGTGCCAACGAAGGCCATCCTTATCCTAGCAGCCTGTGTAAGCCCCACAGTGGGCTCACACCTCTGCAACTCCCATCAGTCCACAGAAGCTGCAGAGACTGGGGGGTTTTCTGGGAGCCCATGCTCCTGCAGACAGCAAGTCCAGCATGTGGCCAGTTGCCCATGTCCTCCACACCCAGTTTTGGAACCAGTGCTGGCCAGGTGAGTCTGTGGCCAGTTCTGCCATGGACCTGCACGCATCACTGCCCTCAATGAAAGCTGAATCCCTGATGGTCTCTTTAGGTCTCACCCCAACTTACCTGGAGGCATGTAGGTGCCTTCTGCACTCATGTGGGGGGGAACAAAGCCCGGCTGGGGCATGGGGTGACCTGGTGGCTCGTAGGGTGGAGGGCCGATGTCTGCAGGAGGCAGCGGCATGCCTGGTGGGGGCTGCATCACAGCTGGGGAGGTACGGCCTGGACAGAGAAACAGAAAAAGGAGCCTCGGCTCAGCGGCTCAGCGGCTCAGCGGCTCAGCGGCTCAGCGGCTCAGCGGCTCAGCGGCTCAGCGGCTCAGCGGCTCAGCGGCAGCACAGCCCTTGGGCCAGAACTACTGCTACAGCACACGGAGGCCCAGAGTAACCCTGGAGTGGGTCACATTGTTGCTGAGAAGGTTTCCCATCACTTCCCCAAGAAGGAAGAATCTTACCTGGGGTGGGGGGCGCTCCACTTTTTTCCTCCAGGAGGGGGGCTGTGGGACCCCCAGGGTAAGGAGGGGGTGGTTCATTAGACATCTTCACTGTGTCTCTGGGACCTAGAGAAAAAACCCAATAGGAATTCTGTTCCAGTCAGCCCACTCCCACACCGACTCTGCTCTGGGATGAGGGCTGCTGAGTGAGCCAGGACTGACCTGGGGTCCCTCCGGGTCTCTGACCCTCAGCCTCACCTCCTTTCCCCTTTCCTCCACAATGAATCAAGCTGGGATGAACAGAGCTGGGGCTGGAACCCATTCTTGGGGGTAGCAGTCACAAGACTCGAGGCACTAGTGATGCCCCACCATGCATGCATAATCAGCCACATCTCTGTGCTCTCCCTCTGGTGCCTGTCAGGAGCCTTGAGGGTGAGGACAGACCCAAGTGGGGCCCAGAAAAGAAGGTGGCGTCCAGCAGTGTGAGCCTAATCCAGGGATGGCACTGCTGATACTTAGGGAACACGGAGGCAGTCTTGGAGAACAGCCACACAGAGGCTACTGGGTCCCAGGGAGGGGCTTAGCAACTCTTCTGCTTGTTGCTACTTTTTTACCTCAGATTTCCCGTATCTGGTGAAGAGGCAGGTGAGGCTCCTTACAGCTGACCTGGACACTGGAGACAGGCAGGCTCTGTTTGAGAGAACAGGCAGCACATTCTGCATAGGAGCTCCTGGCCAGGTTCGCGGTGCAGTTCCCCCTCCTCTCCCACGGCCCACTAGTGTGGCCAGACGACCCAGCCTGTCCCACCAGTCCCCAGCTAGCCTCACTGAGGACCTCTGCTGGGTTCTCTGCAGCTCCCTCTCCTTGCATCAGCCCCCACATCTGTGGCTGCTGAACCGAGGAGCAGGCTAGGCTCTGGCCAGTCTCCCTGCAAGAGGGCAGGAAGAAGAGTGTCAGGCGAGTGAAACGCCTTCCGAAGCACCCATGACCCAGCCTTGCAGTGGAGGCAGGGAAGCTTCAGTCTCCTTGGCAAATCACTTTCTTCACTCTTGCTTAGCATCATAAAGGACTAAACATTAATAGCATTTTGAGATGGCATTCAGTTACTTTTTTTTGTTGTTTGTTTTTCATTCAGTTACTTTTTAAACCAGAAGTAAGATAGTAACTACAAAACTCAGCAGTACAACAGATACAAAGTGGAAGTGGCTTTCCCAGCAGAAGTAGTCAGCAGCAGACCCAGGAGACCCAAGTCCAAGCTTGAGTGTTCCACAATAAAGGAACATGACTGTGTGAAAAGCTGAGGGAAATGGATCAAAGAGTTAAAACTATAAAACTCTTTGGGCCCAATGTGATAGCCTAATGGCTAAATCCTTGCCTTGCATCTGCCAGGATTCCATATGAGCACCAGTTCATATCTGGGATATTCCACTTCTCATCTAGCACCCTGCTTATGGCCTAGGAAAGCAGTCAAGG